TCCCAGTTGAATGACTGCCTGAGGGGACAGTTTGCATATTAGGCGTTTTACTATATTAATGATTGTTGTTAATCTCTTACTGTGCCTAACTTATAAAGTTTATCATAGGTATGTATGTATAGGAAAAAATATGTATATATTGTGTTTGATACTACCTGAGGTTTTAGGTATCCAGTGGGGTCTTGGAATATATCCCCAGCAAATAAAGGGGGACTACTGTATAATAATTGCTAGTATGCAGGCAGATACTTAGTATTGTGGGAGTATAGAGGAAGAGGTAGTTGTGCTCTGAACATTTCTGCTGCCGGATGCAGTCCATTTTGAATTAATACAGTGTTACAGTATGGTTATTTACTCCTTTTGCATTTTTCTTCTTTTCTTTCTTTTTTTTAATATATTTTTATTTCAGAGAGGAAGGGAGAGGGAGAAAGAAATAAAAATATCAGTGATGAGAGATAATATCAGTGGATAGGGCATCGACCTGTGGACTAAAGGGTCCCAGGTTCAATTCTGGTCAAGGGCGCCCTGGTTGAGGGCTTAATCCCCAGTGGGGGGCGTGCAGGAGGCAGCTGATCAATAATTCTCTCATCATCGATATTTCTCTCTCTCCCTCTCCTTCTGAAATCAATAAAATATATTTTAAAAAGTTATTAGAATCAGAATTATTCTATACTTTGTATATTAATACCATTTTCTCTTAAAATCTAAATATTCAAGCTTCCATAAAATGTAAATTCGGATATTATAGTTACATTACACTTTTTCTACCACATGAAACATTTTGCAGAACCTAGAAAATCCCCATTGATGATCGAAAGCAGTACATTTTCCTTGACCATTTATGCTTAGCAATTCTTTGGTTGCTACATATGAATATAGAGAATGGTTCTGAGAATTAGTCCATTTCTGCTTCTATTCTGTAATAATCATAAAGTGGTTTCATTTAATATCAACCATTGTAAAGAATGATAAAAAAGTAGCTGAAACCTGTTTGGCTCAGTGGTTAGAGCATCGGCCTGCGAACTGAAAGGTCCCAGGTTTAATTCCGGTCAAGGGCATGTATCTTGGCTGCGGGCACATCCCCAGTAGGGGATGTGCAGGAGGCAGCTGATCGATGATTCTCTCTCGTCGATGTTTCTAACTCTCTATCCCTCTCTCTTCTTCTCTGTAAAAAAAATCAATAAAATATATATATATTTATTTTTAAAAGAATGATAAAGTATACTAATAGGTAGTTTATGGAAATTTTTTTATTTAATTAAGGGGAATTTTTAAAAAATTCCTTCTTTCACTTCATTCTCTGAAATCCTAATACTCATTTTTAAAAAATATATTTTTATTGATTTCAGAGAGAGGAAGAAGAGAGAGATAGAAACATTAATGAGAGAGAATCATTGATCAGCTGCCTTCTGAATGACCCCCACTGGGGATCGAGCTTGCAACTCAGGCATGTGTCCCTGACTGGAATCGAACCCAGACCCTTCAGGTCTCAGTCCAATTTGGCTCTATCCATTGAGCCAAACCAGCTAGGGCCTACTATTCTTCAAAACTCAAATGCTTGCCTCTGTTTAACTTCCTTCTCATACTAGTTAGGAGTCATATCTTTCTTTCCTGAAGTGTTAAAAGCTTCTCATTTTCTATCACACATCTGTCTGGCTCTAAATGGGCTACTCTCTTTGAGAAAGAATAGTGGCATATCTTCTTTAAAAAAAAAAAAAAAAAAAAAAAAATATATATATATATATATATATATATATATATATATATATATATATATATATATATATTTATTATTGCCGAAGCCCATTTGGCTCAGTGGATAGAGTGTTGGCCTGCAGACTGAAAGATCCCAGGTTCAATTCCGGTCAGGGGCATATACTTTGGTTGTGGGCACATTCCCAGTAGGGGGTGTGCAGGAGGCAGCTGATCAATGTTTTTCTCTCATCGATGTTTCTCACTCTCTACCCCTCTCTTTTCCTCTCTGTAAAAAAATCAATAAAGTAATTAAAAAATATATTTTATTTTATTTTTTTTACAGAGAGGAAGTGGGGAGAGAAAGCTAGAAACATTGATCAGTTGCCTCCTGCACACCCCCTATCGGGGATATGCCCGCAACTAAGGTATATGCCCTTGACCAGAATTGAACCTAGGACCTTTCAGTCCACAGGCTGACGCTCTATCCACTGAGCCAAACCCGTTTCAGTGTATCTTTTTTTTAAATAATTCCCATGGGAATCTAAGCACAGTATTTTCACATAGCGGACATTCCTTTGATTTTTGTTGAAAGCCTCCAATAAAGTAGAAATTTATATTTTACCATTCCCCACTTTTTTTTATAACTTTTTCATTTGATTTAGTACAGTGATGATAATAGTATATTAATAGGAAAGTTTGTTATCATCTTAGAGTGAATCATATTGTGGTCTTTAAATCCTCATTCGGCAGTTATTTATATATGCTGGTCTGAAAAAAATATATTTTCAAGATTAATATTTAATATTTTAAAACTCAAGTCAGTACTGCTGAGGGGAGTAATTTCATGAGTTTTTAATGGTGTCTGTGCAAGCTTGCTGCTTTGCCTTGAGACTGCAGAAATCCTCATGCTGAGGGTTGACTGGGTGCTTCCCATTAAATCCAGCCATGCATTCCTTAGTTGGGTCTGAGAGCTCTGTTTTACTGTCAGTAAGAAGTTCCCTTAATTGCATTTTTTAACTTTTTGAGATTGTGAATAAGTTTGATTGCATTTTAAATCTTCAGCCTTCTTTTTGATAAGTAGGGTGTATTCTGATTTTCAGAAAGATGTGTTTACTCCAAGAGGATTGTCAGATGTCCAGTTGTACAGAAATCACAGACACGATTAATCAAATATTAATAGCAATTATAGCAATTACTTTTAAGGGAAAAACAAAGTATTCTCATTTCCATTTTGAATTTCTTTGAATCCATTTTAACGCTTTACAACTTACTTCTTCTGAGTTCAGAGTAGTGTGTTGATATCTGCTATTTTTACGAAGTTTTTCTGAAGTAGGTAGGGAACTTTCATTAGTTAGGGATAAAGAGGATTTCCTATCTTACTCTACGTATGTTACTTACCTGAGTCAGCTAGAAACTGTAGCCAAATCTCCTGGTTTCAGAATCTTAATCTTAATTTGTACTTCAGAAGGATTTTCAAAACTGGTTTGAATTTAGTTGGATGTTGTATAGTAATTTTTCAAGGAAAAAATACTATTGTGCCTAATAAATGGTTTCTTCAGTACTGCTCCTCTTGAATTAGCAAGGGGTCATTGGGTGTGGTGTGGGTCATGAGTCTGGCAGCAGACTCTTAGGCCAGCCAGTGTACACCTTAAAAGGTCAAAATTCAAGGAACCATAGAAGTATATTCATTCTGACCAATAAAATATCTTGATAACATCCAGTGACATATAAGGGTAGGATCTGCTGTTTCCTGGATCTACTAATGATGTCATTTCTATTATAAAATAATGTGAAGTCAGCACAAGGGTTTTGTGAATAGAGATGTCAATAAACCTTGGCTCATTTGAATGACTGGTGCTAGAAAGACAGGGTGCCTAGGCAAATGGTCTCTGCCCTCAGTAGTCCGGTAAGTTGACTTCAAATTGTGGTTTCTCACTTTGTCGAAACTGAGAAGGCCTAACACAAATGTGAAGGGTGATAAAATTCCTTTTAAAGACTTTTCATGAAAATCACCTTCATTAAATTAATACACTTACATGTAAATGTTTTGTAGGGCTTCTTTTGGCATGAAAAAATGAAAAACTGTTTCAAAATGCCTCCATATCCTCTGGGAATATGAGTGATGATTTCATTACCTAATCAAGAAAGTGAAAATGAAGGGCTGTGCAAATTGATGCTGCGCATGTAATCGCAGAGGCTTTACATCTATGTTCAGGGCCAAGATAGCAGACATGCACTCAGGGTCACAGGGTTTGGTGCTTGTGTAGACAGTGAAATGGGTGAATGGTGAGAATTGCTTAAAACTGGATTTAACAGAAGTGTGAGCCCTTTCTTTGGGTTTGCTAATTTGAGATTTGGAAAAGAAGTAAATTGTTTTATGGAGCCAAACAGATTGATTTTGTTTGCGGGTAAAAAATAGTAATGGAAATATCCCTTTGCAGTTTTTATGATTCAGTTTGTTCTGAAGCAGACCCTAGGCTCACAATCTATCAAGATATGGTATTGGAGCCCTAGGCAGTTTGGCTCAGTGGATAGAGCATCGGCCTACGGACCTAAGGTTCCCAGGTTCCATTCCTCCCCGAACCTGCAACCCTTCAGTCCACAGGCCAGTGCTAGGACAGAATATTTAAAAAATAAATATAATACACACACACACACATACACACACACACACACACACACACATTTATTGGCTTCAGAGAGGAAGGAAGAGGAGAGATAGAAACATCAATGATGAGAATCATTGATCAGCTGCTTCCTGCATGCCCCCTACTGGGGACTGAGCCAGCAACCTGGGCATGTGCCCTTAACCAGATCAAACCCAGGACCTTTCAGTCCGCAAGCAAAGGCTCTATTCACTGGCTAGGGCCTCAGAATATTCTTATTACTCTTTATAGCACCACCGTTAGTTTTTCCTTCTAAGTGTGAGGTCTTAAATTATGTTACTGGCTAAGAGGGGCTAATTGTTACGCCCTTTGCTATCTTCCAGTCAGATCCTTGAGTCAGGGGAATTAGAGAACCTGTTTTCTGGCTTTACTAATATAATTGTACCTATCATAGTTTTCAGTGGAGAGAAAAAATACAACCAGAAGTCTTAAGGGATTGTTAGTTATTTGGGATGGGCTTGGTGCTAGCTGTGCCTATCTAAAGTGGCTCACAAGTAGTATATGAAAGTGCTAGAGAACACATTTCATATTAAGGGTCTCAGACAAACCCTTGGTGCACATGCCTATGTTATTTCAGAGCTGCTAGCAGTGTATACTGATGTTTGTTTCTTTCCCACGATAGCTGTCGAGTGGAATGTCATGGCCAGTTCCTCGGACAGTGAAGATGACAGTTTCATGGCGGTGGATCAAGAAGAAACTGTGCTAGAAGGGACAATGGAGCAAGATGAGGAGCCCCACCCAATATTGGAGGTTGAGGAGACTAGACATAATCGGTCCATGTCTGAGCTGCCTGAAGAGGTTTTGGAATACATCCTGTCCTTTCTTTCACCATACCAAGAACACAAAACTGCAGCCCTTGTCTGCAAACAATGGTATCGACTTATCAAAGGTACTGGGGGACAGAGGGACAGTGGGACAGTGGAAAGGTTATTTATTTAAAATGTGTTTGAATGAATTATTTTTAAACCCCAAATTTTATTTTCTCCTTTTATTTAAAACTGATTTGGGGAGGAGGGGAGAGAAAAAGATGTGAGAGAGAAACATCAATTGCTCCCCTCCATGCACCCCAAATGGGGATCAAACCTGCAACCTAGATATGTGCCCTGACTGGGAATTGAACTTGCAACCTTTTGTTGTACTGGATGACGCTCCAGCTAACTGAGCCACCTGGCTAGGCCTTTTTTCTCTTTTTTTCCTTAAATTTACTGTGATTCTAAAATTTAGTGTTAGTTAATATTGTACATTTCCCTTTTCTTTTTATCCTGAATAGTTTTATGAACAGCTTGAATACTATAGTATTTAATCATTTTGTAGTTTCTTTTCTGCATATTCTTAGAGTTGACCTGGTAAATTGTATTGTTCTTGAACAGGCAAAGTAGGGATATGGGATAACAGTAATAGCTAACATTAATATAGCTCTTACCATTGTCAGGCACCATTGTAACTGCTTTACAATCCTCTCAGCATGCTATAATAGATGAAGAAACTGACTGAGGTACAGTTAGGTAACTTATCCACAGTCACATAGATAATAAATGGAGGATCGAAGATTCACAGGCAGTCTGTCTTTAAAGTCCATGATGAGCCAAGACCGGTTTGGCTCAATGGATAGAGCGTTGGCTTGGGAACTGAGGGGTCCCGGGTTCGATTCTGGTCAAGGGCATGTACCTTGGTTGCGGGCACATCCCCAGTGGGGGGTGTGCAAGAGGCAGCTGATCGATGACACTCTCTCATCGATGTTTCTAACCCTCTATCTCTCTCCCTTCCTCTCTGTACAAAATCAATAAAATATATTTTTTAAAAATATATAAAGTCCATGATGATACCATATTATCTCTCAAAGTGGTATAGATTTGCGAAAGCATTTACCCCTTGATTTTATCTCTAAACAACACATGCCTTATGGATATCTTTTACTTTTAAAAATGAATTTCTCTCTTTATTTTCTAATCAAGATTTCAACTGTAGCTAAATGTTGAAATTACTGGCTGTAATTTTTAATTAATTGATAGCAGTTATAGTGGTTGTGCGAGGCAGCAAGTTTAGGTGTTCACCTATGCCGCCATCTTGGTTTTCTTGAATGAAAAAGAGACAGAGACAGACACTAATAATAATCTTTTATTAAGGCAAAGGTTCTATCAATTGGTTCTTTCCTGGTGGAGCAAGGCAGCCAGAAATATGAAAGAGAAAAACATTTAGATAAGAATCAGCCTTAAAAGCTTTTTTTTTGCATCGGAGTGGTTCTCATGGAGAATGTGATCTTGTCACTTATCCAACTCCTACCACAGACTGACTAGCTGTGTTGAAGCTGCTTATAACAAGTGGTACTAGTATGCACAACCTGCTTCTGTTGGGAGAGTTAGTGGACACTTCAGGAGAGACTGGCTCCTTATACTGTGGAAATAGATGGTTTTACCTCTTAAATAAAGGTGGAAGGATTTTGGATGAGGAGCTGTGATCTAGTCACATGTATGAATGTATTATCAGGCATTTACTTATTTATTTTCTCACTGAGGATATATTTGTTTTTCTTCATTTTCTTCATTCTAGAGAGTAAGGAAGTGGGAGGGAGAGAAACATCAGTGTGAGAGGGAAATACCAATCAGTTGCTTCTCAGTAGATTGCCTCCTGTGATCCGGTTCTTCACCAGGGATCAAACCCACAATCTGGGTATGTGCCCTGACCAGGAATCAAACCATGACCTCCTGGTTCATAGATCAGTGATCAGTCATTAACCATATAAGCTGGGCACACTTTCACTTTTTAAAACAGTCTTTCTTAATTATAAATAGTGTAGTTATAAATAATAATCCATTATAAACTAATTATTATCTCCTTGTTTAAGATGGAGAATGCTTAGTTGCCATGGCCTAATAATAGATATTTACTGAACACCTACTATATTCCAGGTACTGTTTTACCACATTCTTTATCACTCAGCTAAATTGTTCACCAGCCCCTTTGCTTTGGAGTAAATAATATCAGTTATTTTGATGTGTTGCATCATGATATAACATAGAGGGGAGCTGGTTACAGAGTGAGCTGATTTTGTAACTTTGAGCAAGTCATTTAACCTACCTGAACCTGGCAAATGAAAGGATTGGATCTTCCAGTTTTAAAACTCTTATGATTTTATTTTATTTTTAAATAAAATTATTTATTGATTTTGAGAGAGAGTGAAAGATGGATTTGTTGTTTCACTTATTTGTGCATTTAATGGTTGATTCTTGTATGTGCTCTGACCAGAGATTGAACCTGAAATCTTAGCATATTGGGACAATGTTCTAATGAACTAAGCTACCAGGCCAGGTCTCTGTTTTCTTTCTTTGAATGAAAAATCAAAAAAATTTGGAGTTCTTCAAAGAAACTTATGTTTTATAAAAGTTACAAAATACTTAAATTGTTTTAATAATTTGATTTACAAGTGAAGTGTCTAGGCTGAGGCCTTTGTCATTTTTATCTTTAGGTGTAGCTCACCAGTGTTATCATGGTTTCATAAAGGCTGTTCAGGAAGGAAACATTCAGTGGGAGAGTCGGACTTACCCTTATCCTGGAACCCCAATCACTCAGCGGTTCTCACACAGTAAGTATTTACTGAGAAAGCAGATCCCACCCTGCCTGTGTTTCCAAAGACTAGTTTGAGGCATGTGTTTTGTCTGACTTTTTAATGATGAAAATGTAAAATGAGGACTTAATATTAATTTTACAATCAGAATTAGGGAAGAGCATGAGCCTAAATACATTGTTGGTACTTTGGTATAATTTTATATTCTGCTTTTCATTGATTTTTTTTTTTTTGTAGTATTTCTCTAAAGATACCAAGGTGTTATGCTTAGACTCTTAAACATCTGACATCATGTAAGATGGAAACAAAGGAACAACGTACACGAGAGTATTTCTAGATTTTGCTCTAGAGTTTTACAATAACTATTTTAACATAGTGTATGTTCAGCAAACACTGAATTTCAAGATTACTGATTATAAAATATAAACTTATATAGTAAAATTATAAATAAAATGTCCTGGCAAATAGATACAGAGTTTTAAAATTACTCTAGAATTAACTATTTTAATTGATTTTTTTTAACATATCAGTTATTTAATCGGGTTCTTATAAGAAATTCAGAACATCAGTTTGTGAGGATAAAGCCCTTTCCCCACTCCCTATTGTCCTCATCCATAGGTGCACAGTTTATGTTCAGTCTCTTCCTACATCCCCCACTCTCCTTTTCCCCAAGAATTGTCATTTTACTCCCCTTCCATACCTCTGATTCTGTTATATTCACCAGTTAATATTGTTCATCAGATTTTTTAATTCCCTTGGTTTTTAGATTCACTTGTTGATAGTTATGTATTTGTTGTTCATAATTTTTATCTTTATTTTCTTCCTCTTCCTAAAGAACCCCCTTCAGCAATTCATATAATTCTGGTTTGGTGGTGATGAACTCCTTTAGCTTTTTTTTATTTGTGAAGCTCTTTATCTGGCCTTTGATTCTGAGTGATAGCTTTGCTGGGTAGAGTATTTTTGGTTGTAGGTTCTTGTTATTCATCACCTTGAATATTTCTTGCCATTCCCGTCTGGCCTGCATAGTTTCTGTTGAGAAAACAGCTGACAATCGTATGGGTACTCCTTTATAGGTAACTACCTTCTTTGCTCTTGCTGCTTTTAATATTCTCTCTTTGTCTTTTGCTCTTGGAATTTTAATTATGATTTGTCTTGGTGTGGTCCTCTTTGGATTCCTTTTGTTTGGGGTTCTCCTCCTTGGATTTATTATTATTATTTTAATTGATTTCAGAGAGGAAGGGAGAGGGAGAGAAAGATAGAAGCATCAATGATGTGAGAGAATCATTGATTCAGGCATGTGTCCTGACTGGGAATTGAACCCATGACCTCCTGGTTCATAGATTGACACTCATTCACTGAGCCATGCCAGCTGGGCATTATTTTTTATATTATTAAAAAAGTTTTGAGCCGAAACTGGTTTGGCTCAGTGGATAGAGCGTCAGCCTGTGAACTGGAAGATCCTGGGTTCGATTCCGGTCAAGGGCATGTACCATGGTTGCAGGCACATCCCCAGTGGGGGGTGTGTAGGAGGCGGCTAATTGATGATTCTCTCCCTTTGATGTTTCTAACTATCCCTCTCTCTTCCTCTCTGTAAAAAAATCAATAAAATTAAAAAAAAAAAAAGTTTTGAAAGGGTCCTAAATGTATTCAGGAGTCCAGAGACCACACTTTGACAATCACTGCAATGGACTATAAAATAAATCCTTGCTGAGAATCTACACTAATAAAAGAGAAACATGCAAATTGACACAACAAAGATGGTGGTGGCCACAGAGCTAGAGCAAGCACGAGGCTTAGGTTGCCCCTGGCAATGGAGGAAGCCAAGCTTCCGCCTATGCTGGCCTCCACTGAAGTAGGGACTGGGAGCCTGGGTCGCCAGGGTGACCCAGGCTTCCAGCTCACCCTGGCCACTGCTGAAAGAGAGGCTGGGAGCCTGGGTCGCAGGTGGCATGGTCAGCCTGAAAATAGTCCTCAACCCCTAACCCAGGCTGGCCACACCTCCCCCCCCCCCAGCAGGGACCCTTACCCCATGGGGGCGTGGCTGGCCTGCAAAACACCACAGGCCCCTTGTCCAGGCTGCCCCATGCCCCAAGGGAATCCTCACCCTGATCTGGGACACCCTTCAGGGAAAACCTGCCGGCCCCCACAGGTGTACCAGTCCTCTATCTATGCTAATAAAAGGGTAATATGCTAATTAGACTGGGAGACCTTCCAGGATACCTTCCAGAGGTTCTTCTGGACAAAGCCATGGTGGCAGGCCCAAGATAGAGGCAGTTAAAGGCAGTTGTGGGTGATCAGGCCGGTGGAGAGACTGTTGGGGGTGATCAAGCTGGCGGGGGGGCTGTTGGGGTGAGCAGACCAGCAGGGGGGCCAGTTGGGGGCAAGTAGGCCATCAGTGGGGGCCAGTTGGAGTGATCAGGACAGTGGGGGGTCAGTTTGGGGTCAGCAGCCAGCAGGGGTTGAGCAGGCCAGTGGGGAGCAAAGATATGGGGGTGAGCAGGCCGCAGAGGGGGCAGTTGGGGCGAGCATGCTGGTGGGGGGGCAGTTGTGGGCAAGCACACTGGCACGGGGTGCAGTTGGGGGATGATCAGGCTGACAGGGGGGCCATTTTGGGGCTAGCAGGTCGATTGTGGGGGGCAGTTGGTGGCAAGCAAGCTGGCAGGCAGAGTGGTTAGGAGCAATCAGGCAGGCAGGCAGGCAGGGGAGTGGTTAGGAGCCAGCATTGTGAGAGGGATATCCTACTGCCAGTTTAGGCCCGATCCCTGTAAACGGGCAGTAGGACATCCTTCGAGGGGTCCCAGATTGGAGAGGGTGCAGCCCTCCCTCCTCCTGTGCATGAATTTTTGTGCACTAGGCCACTAGTATTTAATGAAATTACGGTAGGATCCCATGTTAGGTCCAATATTTACTGTTGAGGGAGGAATAACTTCAGTTACCTAGAAATAATTGGTATAAGAGTAGAGACAAACTTTCTTTCTTTCCTTTTTTTTTTTAGGTTTTTAAATAATGAAGGAAATAGAATGAATCTAGGTGAAATAAAAACCAAAGTAGGAAATATTCAGAGGTGAATAATTATCATAGTTTAGCTTTCTAATGAGGAAAGGGGAAAAACTTTTTTCTGTTAACTAGCTTTTGAACAAGTATCGTAAAATAAAGGCAGTTATTTAAAAGGGAAATAGAAAGGAATATCCACCTGTCTACATGTTATCTAACTGGTGAACTAAATAAAACTATTACAGAGAAATAGCATTTTTCAAAACAGGTTTAAAACAAGGAATTTCTTCCCTTAGTTCCTTCCTCTTTCAACCCTGTATTTGTACCTTGAGATCAACTTTACTTCTTATTCTCAGCTCATGTTGAGCTTGAGATCTGCATTTCTAATTCTTTGCTCCTAGGTCTGAAGAGATACACAGATGTTCCATGTTTAGTCAGCTAAAAGCAGAATTCAGTGGTACCCTCCAAATTTTCTCCTCTCTCTAATTTAGTTAATGGCATTTATCATGCTTTCAATTATACAAGCCTGAAAACTTGGATCATCCTCAGTTCCTCTCTTTCTCCCAACAATAAAAGTAAAATCCTGTTGATTTTGTTCTGTCTCCTCAACCTCTCTCATGTTTCCTTTGTTTTCCCATTACTCCTTTGTATAATCTAATCATTCCATCTTTCCTAAATTTTGTCTAAATAGTCTTCTTGCCTTTTCTCTTCACTTGAATCTGGATTAGACACTGTTGGCAATCTTGTCTAAAACTGGGGACAGTGCCACTCCCTAGGGTATTTGGAAATGTGTAAAGTCATTGTTTATTGTCCCGACTAGAAAGCATTATAAGCATCTAGTAGGCAAAGACCAAGCAAATGGCCTGCAGTGACTGGGATGATCCCACACATAAAGAATTGGCCTGCTCGAAATGACAGGACCTCCTGTCAGGAAACAGAGCAAATCTGAAACATAAAACCAGCCTTTTCATTCCTCTTCCAAAAAGCCTCAGCCTCTTTGCACTACACGTAAAGTTCCCACTCCAACTGGCTTTCAGGGCTCCACCTTACCTTTTCAGCCTAGCACTGCTGCTGCCTCCTTATGCAGTCAGACAGCACAAGGCTCCTTGTGATGCTTAAACCCCATCCTTCATGACTTTCCTTGGATGCCCTGATTTCATTTTCCCTTTCCCTCCTGTTCTTTTTCTGTCCCCGGCTTGGTTGTCCCTCATTAATTTACTGAAAACATCCTATCCTCTAAAATCTATCTCAGAAGCAAAGCCAAAAGCCATCTTCAAAAACTACTCTCAAATTCCTCCATGGTAATTAAACTCTCTTCCTCTGCTTATACTCCTCTTATACACTTCATACCTTGCCCTATCCTATGTAATTAAAGCCTGTCCCTTTGGGCAGTCATTCGACTAGGAGTTTGACCGAGAGTTCAACCGCTTGTTATGATGTGTGCTGGCCACCAGGGGGCAGCACGGAAAATGACAGGCTTTGGCGACACGCTGCGACCTCTCTGCTACCTGGGGACGGGGTGACGGGAACAGGACAGAGGTATGGTGAAAATGCGGGGTGTCCACTGAGCTTGCTCTCACTTCCCTTGCTACCCTCCCCCGAGACACCAGGGCTTGCACTTCAGATGCTGGGGCGCCTGCAAGTAGGCGCAATCTCGCGGCCGCTGGGACCACAGGGGCCAGTTGGGCTCCCTATAGGTTCGCGCAGAAGCGATCTGCAAGGCTGGCGGGGAGAGAGCGTTTTGCCCCCCCGGGCTTCTGTGCGGAACCGGTGGGTGTCCTGTGCTGCGCCCTGGCCTGTGGCATCTGGCCGCACTCACTGCATGTCTGCGTGGGGACTCCGGCAGAGGTAGGCGTGCTGGGGCCCAGGTGCTGCCCAGGGTCCAGAGGTCAGCTGGGACCTGCCCTTTCACACCAGACATTCACACTTACATCGCTGGCCATGCCTAGGGACCGTACCCATGTACCATGAATGAGAAACATGCAGATTGAGTTGCTAGGAAATTGAATTAAAGGAAGACTTGCTAAAAATTGTTTTAAACTGCAGAATGTTTATAGTTGATAATTTATTAAATTCTGTGAAATTAAATGTAACAGAGATATGAGCAGTACTGCTTCTTTCCTAAGTATAAAAAATAATAATAAATAAAAATATCTGGGACAAAAAAGGCAGGGTAAGTAAAATAAAGCCAGTTCTCCTGTGGGTTTTTTATTTTTTGTTTTTGTTTTTTTTTTGTTTTTTGTTTTTTGTTTTTTGTGGTGAGTGCGTGATCAATCATGCAAGCCTTGATTAGTGTAGACGGTCCTTTTCAGATTGTAGGGTGTCCTTTTCAAATGGATGTAGTGGTCTGTTGAGTCCCCAGCATCATGCCTAGAAAAAAGTTTTAGTGTTTAGGCTCCAGATATGGTCAGAGCATTCCACACACATGCAAATTGTGTTCCTGCAATAGTCAGCAGGCCCAGACTGGGTAACCAACCTTGCTTGTTCCATAGTTATGTAATTACAGGCCCTATCAAATATGTCCTGGCTTGTAGATGTGAGACACATGACAGCATAGTCTCTTTAAGCATGGGATAAATGCCTCAGGACCTTTCTCTGGAGACAAGTGGGGGAAACAAAAGAGTCTTTTAACAACCGAAAGTGCAAAAGTTAGAGTGGACATTTGTTGAGTGACTACCAGGCATCATGGAAAATATGAAATAACTGGAAGATGTTATATTTGAGAGGACTGTAATATAGGAGGGAAGTATTCAGAATGCTGAGAGTCATTCGCTTGCTGTTTGTGTAATTGTAATATTTGACTTGCCTTTGAATAGGGATTATTAGGTATTAACTTGTGGTTATGTGTCTTGCAATAATTGTTCATGGAACAATCAAGCCCATTTCCAAAGGTTGAAGAGGTTTAGCGGTTGGAGTAAATGTTATTTCTTAGCAGAGTATTCATACTGTACTATGAACTGTAACTTTTGTTTGGTACATTCCAATGGTCTAGATGTTCTGAAAGGAAAATATTCTCTTTGGGTGGAGAACTTTGGTAAAAGGGAAATGACTATGTGAGCACTGGTATTTGCTTATTTTCTTATTTTTTCTACAAGACCCATTGAACTTGTCCGGCTTCCCCACTCTCACCCAAACCTATAGTGTCTTAAATAAAAATAGACATTAAACAAAGTTCATTAGGATGCCTAAAATATTTGAGTGGCCATTTTCTCATTCTATTATATCTGAGTTCTAAACTTAGCTGCCTTAATTGACTCCCTTCCTTTCCAAGCTTCGTTGATAATTGACTGCTGGACATTGAAAATAAAGTGTGTGAAACTTGTCGTTTCAGTCCTATTATCTTTGCAGAGTTTGGGCTGTGCCTTCCTCTGGCAGAAACCTTTGTTTGCTCAAAGAGAAGCAGGGAAATGCCGAATGCCTTATTTTAGTATAGGACTAAAATACACGTGGTTAAGAACCTCATGGGGCCCAGCTGCTGGCTGGGTTTTCAATCCAAATAGAGAAGAAGAATGTTTGCTACCTCGTTGATAAAGGCACTGCACTCTTTTGCTACAGGAAGGAAGCAGCTGCTAAGAGTTGATCTTTGAGGAATGGTGCAAATAAATGAGCTCTGACTCTTTTAGCTATGAAATCATGAACTTGTTGTTTATTAAACACTGTTAAAATGGACACAACTTAAGGTCTCATAAGCCATAGGACATTGCTAATTTCTGTCCTGGAGGTATGGATTATCAAAAGGAAAAGAATGTTCTTTTTTGCCTGTCACTAGTTGGTTCAGTTCAGAATTTTCCCATTTGATGGAATAGTTAGTTCAAGAAAGGTATGAAAAGACCAGACTATCTGAAGCTTAATTTAGCTCCTCTAGTGGAGATTAAAATATGGCTTCAGTAATTACTCATTTTTTCCCCCCTAATGTCATCTAATTTGACCCTTTGCTGTTTGTAGTTTTTAACAAATCTGAGACATGGGCAATATAATTTAATAGGATTTTACTTCTCAATAGACTTTATTGTTGGGATGTGGATAAAAAAACTGATTTAGATATAGATTAGAATTTATTTTCAAAGACAAGGACAGTCCGTAGAAGTTGTGAGATCATTTAAATCTTAATATATCATTATAGTATGTTTGAGTTCTGGGAATAGAGTGACTATTTTGCAGGTGTGAGCCTATTGATGATTAGATAGTATTTTTTATTTTTATTATTTTTAAAATATATTGTTTACTTTTTATAGAGAGGAAGGGCAAAGGATAGAGAGTTAGAAATATCGATGAGAGAGAAACATTGATCAGCTACCTCCTACACACCCTCTGAGAATGTGCCCGCAACCAAGGTACATGCCCTTGACTGGAATTGAACCTGGGACCCTTCAGTCCACAGACTGACACTCTATCCACTGAGCCAAATGGGTTACGGCAGTATTTCTTTTAAAAAAAATTTTAAAAAATTAATTTCAGAGAGGAAGGGAAAGGGAAAGAGAGATAGAAACATCAATGATGAGAGAGAATCATTGATTGGTTGCCTCCTGTACACTACCCACTTGGGATTGAGCCCGAAACCCAGGCATGTGCCCTGACCAGTAATTGAACCCTGACTTCCTGATTCATAGGTCGACACTCAACCACTGAGTTACACCCATCGGGCAATAGTATTTCATTTCTTCACATCTCTATTCTCTTTAATTTCTTCATTAATTTGAAAAGTATGCAGCTCCATTACTGCAGTGTCAGAGGTCAGATGGTTTGGATGTACTTCTTTCACTGATTGAGATTACTAGGTGTAAGTGACTAAACACACTGCTTTATTGGCTCTTAACTCATCCTGATTTGGCCTTCCTAGTGTAGGGAGATTCCTTAAAGGGCTTATAGGGTGGGCTCAGTTATGAAGGAAAAAAGGGTTATTCCCAGAGTTAGTACATGTTAATTATGGCAGTGGCATTTCCCTTTTTCTGAACTTGAATAAGTGGTGCCAGGGTTCTGAAGAGATCTTAAAAACAGTGGCATGCTAAATCGAACCAGATCTAAAAATAAGCTGAATGATCACTGAAACCCTGCACTATGGGTTGAATCTTTCAATTTCTTTTCCCTTTCCTCCTCCTTTGATATGACCCTTAACTGTTTAAGCCTAGTTTCACATGAACTTTGAGAGGTCTTTTTTTCCACTGGTATGCATGAAGTGAATAGAAAGGGAAGTTTTGCTCGGCCTTCTTCCTGAGTTCCAGGATGCTAAATGCAAGAGTATAAGGAGTGTGGTCATCTTTTCCAAAGGATAGAGACTAAATGAGGTTTCAATGAGAAAGAAGCAAGCCAACAGAACTTAGCTCTCAAGCGTCTTATAAAGATTTGTTTATTTTTTTGCTTTGGGTTTCATTTGGAAAAAAAAAAAAAAAAAGATAGGAGGAAGACGAGGAGAGAATTGGAGGGACAGTACATCTGTTAGCACTGACTATCTTTCCCTAACCCTAGCAGGCGATACAGATTTAGGTTCATTATGCAGCTGTGCTGAAATTTCACTCATTGAGCACCCTTAATTGAATTCTTCTGTGCTCTTGCTGGAGTTATACTGTCTTATTTAATAACATTATTGTCACTTTGCTTTAGTGTGCTCAGAAATAACATTTTCACTGGGCCTTATTTTCTTTTTTACAATATTTTTATTGATTTCAGAGAGAAAGGGAAAAGTAGAGAGAAAAACATCAATGATGGGAGAGAATCATGGACTGGCTGCCTCTTGCACACCCCTCACTGGAGATCGAGTCTGCAGTCGGGGCATGTACCCTTGACCAGAATCAAACCTGTGATCCTTCATTCCATAGGCCAATGCTCTATCTACTGAGCCAAACCAACTAAGGCTCTGGTACTTATTTTAAAGGTTAGTGTGATACTGACCAACCTGAAGATAACAGATTGGTTATAGAAAATTGTACCTGGTTAAAGAGTTGTGAAATAATTGATCTTTGAAAGATATGGGCTATAGTTAAGGTATTAAAGGAGCCTCAAAATTGAACTTTATTTATTTATTTATTTATTTATTTATTTATTTATTGTTTCTTCCTAGGTGCATGCTATTATGATGCTAATCAGTCTATGTATGTGTTCGGAGGCTGTACCCAAAGCAGCTGCAATGCTGCCTTCAATGACCTCTGGAGACTTGACCTGAATAGCAAAGAGTGGATTCGACCTTTGGCTTCAGGTAAGAGATAAAATGCTCATCTTTGCTAAAACCGGTTTGGTTCAATGGATAAAGCGTCTGCCTGCAGACTGAGAGGTCCCAGGTTTGATTCCGGTCAGGGGCATGTACCTTGGTTGCTGGCACATCCCCAGTAGGAGGTGTGCAGGAGGCAGCTGATGGATGTTTCTCTCTCATCCATGTTTCTAATTCTCTATATCTTTCTCCCTTTCTCTCTGTAAAAAATCAATAAAACATATATTTTTGAAATGCTCATCTTTAACCGAAACCAGTTTTGCTCAGTGGATAGAGCGTTGGCCTGCGGACTGAAAGGTCCCGGGTTCAATTCCGGTTAAGGGCATGTACCTTGGTTGCAGGCACATCTCTAATAGGGGGTGTGCAGAAGGCAGCTGATCAATGATTCTCTCTCATCAATGTTTCTAACTCTCTATTCCTCTCTCTTCCTCTCTGTGAAAAATCAGTAAAATATATATATTTTTAAAAACCTCATCTTTGCCTTCTTACCAGGTAATTCCCTTTGCATGGAAACTGCCCAATCCTTTTATTTTATTTTTCCCAATCCTTACCCAAAGACATCTTTCCATTGATTTTTATAAAAAAAAGTGGAAGAGAGGGAAAGACAGAGAGAAATATCAAAGTGAGAGAAACACCTGGATTGGTGGCCTCCTGTACGAGCCTTGGCCAGGGCCTGGCCAGGGAGGAGCCTGCAACCTAGGTATGTGCCTTAACCGGAATTGAATCCAGGACCCTTTGGTCCATAGGCTGAGGCTCTATCCACTGAGCCAAACTGGCTAGGGCCACAATCCTTTTTGGTGTTGGTCTTAAGGGCAGGTTATTGGAACTCCAGATTCATTGTCCAATATTCTATGTAAATTCTAAGGGTAATATGCTTGTGTAAAATCTTTGAATTAAAAAAAAATTTATACTTTATCATTCATATTGGTACCCTGCCAAAATTGTTACATACTACTGTGTGAATTCACTTGCGTGGTTTTCCCAAGTACTTGTACAGATGTAACATGCTCTTTGGTATGAAGTTGAAGCAGAAACACAGAGTCTTAGGAACTGTAGTTGACTGACAGAAGCTATTGTCCCAGGGCTAAGATCTCTGAATATCTTTTGTTGTTTCCAGCTCAGATATTTGGGAGTGTATGGAACATGCCTCTGCTGGTTACTCTTAACTCAAGAGTGTGGGAAGATTCCACACTAGATGCATTCCTGCATAGTCCCACTATGCCAAAATTCTGGCGAGAGAAACGTGATTATTTTCTCCTTTTTTTTTTAACCTGAACTTTCTTGGGGTAAAAACAAAAACAAAAACATTGTTTTTGTACTCGTGAGGCATATCAGTTTAAAAAGGCACAATTATAAAATTTGAGGGACTGATGTAATAGAGAAATAAAGCCCACTGAGCCACTGAGTATAAAGTATTCTGCTAGATTTGTTGGCAGGGTTTTCCCAAGTATTCATTTGGCTCCTTCCTTCTTTCCTCCTCCTCCTCCTCCTCCTCCTCTTCCTCCTCTTCTTCATCATCATCATCATCATCAAAATAAGGTTTTATTTTTTCTCTGCAGTCTTTATTTTTTCTTTATTGATTAAGGTATTACATATGTGTCCTTACCCCTCCCGTTACCTCCCCCCCTCATTGCCCTCACCCCCCACCCTGGTGTCTTTGTCCACTGGTTAGGCTTATATGCATGCATACAAGTCCTTGGGCTGATCTCTCCCCCTTACTACTCGTCTCCCCTACCTTTCCTCTGAGGTTTGATGGTCTAATCGATGTTTCTCTGTCTCTGGATCTGTTTTTATTCATCAGTTTATGTTGTTGACTGACTTATTTCACTTAGCATAATGCTCCAATTCCATCCATGCTGTTGCAAATGGTAAGAATTCCTTCTTTTAGGGTAGTATTCCATTGTGTGGTCGTTTGGAATTAACTCCAGGACTAAGGTGACTCAGGTTTTTCTTATGCACATTTACTATTTATTTCAGCCTTGATTTACTATTTTGATTATTAAATGGGAGGCAACCTGGTGTATTAGAAAGGGCATTGGATTAAGAGTAAGGAGACATGAGGTTTTTAAGAATATATACTTTAAAAATTAATTAATTAATTAATTAATTAAAAAAAGAATATATACTTTATAGCCGAAACTGGTTTGGCTCAGTGGACAGAGCATCAGTCTGCGGACTGAAGGGTCCCAGGTTCAATTCCGGACAAGGGCATGTACATTGGTTGTGGGCACATCCCCAATGTGGGATGTGCAGGAGGCAGCTGGTCAACGTTTCTCTCTCATCAATGTTTCTAGCTCTCTATCTCTCTCCCTTCCTCTCTGTAAAAAATCAATAAAATATATATTTTTAAAAAGAATATATACTTTATAGATATTAGAGAGAGGGTAAAGGATAGGGTTAGAGAGATAAAAACATTGATGAGAAACATCTGTTGGCTGACCCTTGTATTCCCCCCACTGGGGATCAAGCCCGCAACCTGGGTATGTGCCCTAACCAGGAATCAAAACAGCTACAAGTTGCTTCCCCAAGCTTTGAGCTCCTATACCTACCCCTGCAATGGTCAAATAGAGGAGGGAGGAGCATAGTGACTGTGGATACTCATAGGTGGGATTCACTGTTGTATAGATGCTCTTTATTAAAAGTACTAGAGGCCCAGTGCACGAGATTTATGCACTGGTTGGGTCCCTAGGCCTGGCTGGCAATCAGGGCTGATCTGTGAGGCGACTGGCTGGGTCGCCCCCCTGCTGGCACCTGCCTTGGCTGGCCTGGCACCACCCACTTGCTGGCCCCGCCCCAATCACCAGTCACCTCCCTCTGTCGGGTGACAGGCGGAGTGATTGGGGATCCTCCTCTGGCACCCGCCTTGGCTAGCCTGGGGTCTGTAGGCTGGGAGCAGCTCCTACGTTGAGTGTCTGCTCCCTGATGATCAGTGTGCATCATAACGATTGGTCAGTTTACTTGTCATTCTGCCATTTGGTCGATTTGCATATTAGGCTTTTATTATATAGGATTAGGAAGATGAACAAGTGTTAATCTTTAAAAAATAATTTTGGGAGTTAGTACTATTTTAGGGCCCTCAGAAATTTGTATATTGGAAGGTTTCATTTTTTAGCCCTTTGTCTCCTATTGCACTTAGTACAATATATTTTTTAAACAATCTTCTTTTAATTTTAATTTTATTGATTTGTTTTTACAGAGAGGAAGAGAGAGAGATAGAGAGTTAGAAACATCGATGAGAGAAATATTGATCAGCTGCCTCCTGCACACCATTGGGGATATGCCTACAACCAAGGCACATGCCCTCAACCGGAATCGAACCTGGGACCTTTCAGTCCACAGGCCGATGCTCTATCCACTGAGCCAAACTGGTTTCGGCACTTAGTACAATATTGATTAATATTTGAAATCACAGATTCTAAAATGTAGAGTTTGTTCAGATTGCCTATACTTGGTGTCCAGGCCCCAGAGCAGCTTTGGTTGTTCCATTTGCAAAATGCTCATACTGCCATTCTATAACCAAACTTTATACCTTTGATTATTTGGCATAGGTGTAGCTCTTTTTGTAAAGTGGAACTATCTGATTTTGGGATCTTCATAACTGTTGCCAACTATTTTGCTTAGTTTTCCTTATTTCTCCCTATTAGATAGAATTTAATGGTGTTTTTTATCTTTTTCCCGTCTTCCCCTCTCCAGTGCCTTTTTAAGACTGTGTTTTGAGATTTCCAAGGTAGAAAGTATCAGAGAAATAACTGAATTTTTAAAAATACAATGTTAGCCTGTCTCCTTTTATAAGTCATGTAAGCTTCTGAATGTTAAAGGTAATTTTCTAACAAAGTACCTCAAAGAATCTAGTTGCTATACTGTTCTAATCTACAATTAGAACCTAGTTTTAGAGGGGAAAACTTGGGTTTTTGAAATGTCTATGCTTAAACAAACATTAGTTGAGTTAAGAGCCCCTGAGATTCTCATTTAGACAGAAATCCCATGGGAAGATTGCCTGAGGAAATGTTTCTATATGCTGTCATGAGTCCCAGCCACAATTACTTCCTAACTGAAACATCAGAGACTCTTTCTGAACAAAACAGTGTTGATATGTCCTGGTGTGCTTGAGTCACCCATTTTAGTGCATGGAGGGTGGATTGGGGAGGGAGCATGAGGGAGGGTGCTACTCACCACCCTTTCATGCCAGCTGTGAAGTCTTCCTCTAGCATTTGAGTATTTACAAGTGATGAACATTTAAGCAATAGCTTTAACAGTATTTAGTCTTCAAATATGTAGCTACCGTATTTGGAGAAGAGCATCAAACAAGCAGTGGAACAGTATGGGGTGGGAATCTTGATAGATATTGCTACTGTGCCAGGTATCTTTTTACATGTTTATGTGGTTATATTGGGAGTGGTGCGTTCTTATTTGGTTGATGTCTTACTTAGCTCAGGCTGCGATAACAAAATATCATACATAGACTGGTTGGTTTCAACAGCAGAAATTTATTTCTCAATTCTGGAAGCTAGGCATCTTGGGATCAGAGTGTCGGTGAGGGTTGTCTTCCTGGCTTTCAGACAGCTGCCTTCTTGCTCCATCCTCACATAGCAGAGAGTGTCCTGTGTTTTTTTTTTTTTTTTTTTTTTTTTTTAAGTAAGAACACTGATTCCATCATGAGGGCCCCACCACTCTCAAATTCTAACCCTAATTATTTCCCTAAAGTCCTATCTCCAGATGCCATTGCATTGGGATTAGGGCTTTCACATATGAATTTTGGGAGAGATATAGTTTGGTCTATAGCAGTTGGAATTAATCCAAGTTGCATTGAAACCTTGTCTTTATTAATTCCTTTTGAAATCATACACATGCTCCATCTGGAGGATGATGAGTATTGGAATGAGAGCTCTTAGAGCTGAGAGAGACCTTCATATAGCTACACTTCTCAGATATTTCCAAAGAGACATCTATATCCTCCTACCTTTTACACTTGCTATTGTGGTCCCTGC